TCTGTATAGATATTGTGCGTCTGAAATTAGGAGGCAGGTGCTATGAATCTAATCCACATATACATATATATGTATGTATGTGTATATGTATTTGTGTATGTATATATGCAAATATATATCCACATACGTGTGTATATCTCTATCTATATCCATATCTATATATGATTATAACTTCATTGGTCAGGCTATGGTGATAGGGAAAAAGAAGTCAAAATGAGAATAGAAACCTGACATGGCTCATAGGAAGTTAAGCCCTGTCATTATACAGACAGGGAAACAAAGGTCCAGAAAAGATAAGTGATTTCTCACAAGGTCACAGAGGAGACTTGGGTCTGAGCCTGTGTTCTTCCACTAATTGTGACTTTGAACTAGTCATTGAAACACTTTAGATCTTAGTTTCCTCAATTTGAAAATTAGAATAGGTTAGATGATTATTGAAATTCCTTCCAGAACTAAACTCTATATGATTCTGGAAATTATATTAAATGTTAAATATATTAAATTATATTTTACATTATATTGTTGTATATTATATATAAAATATTATATATATTAAATTATATAGCATATGCCTGTATCTTTGCTTTGTTAATATAAATTCTGATAAATTATTAAAGCACTTGCATGTTTGGAATCACAATCGTTCTTCTATGGGAATATTAGCATACCTATTCCAATTTGCTTATCATTTATTTCAGTGATGCTCAAGTTGAAAAGTCTTTTCTAATATTATGTGTTACTTAACTTGTCTATTAAACACTGAATCATGAAAAAATTATGGATAACACCAATGTAAGGAAATAGACAGAATCTGGCACCTTTTTATTTTGGTCCTGATCTGTGATTTCATTAGTGTATGTCAGTGGTTGCCAGTGTTATTTGTTCCACAACCCCCTTTCAAAAACAACAAAAAAATGTGTTGTGAACCACCAAGGCAATTTAATATACTACTCATAATATTCTTTTAGATGTACTCATTAATTGCTTATAATAGCTATAAAGATAACTTTTATCCCCAAAAAGCTCCAAACTAAAATTTATATTATATAATTATAAAATACAAAATGTATTCTACATAGAATTATGGAGCTCTAAATATAAAATTATAAAAGTAAAATTATAAAACAATTTTGACTTTTTTAATATAGAACATTCTGTAAGAATTAAAAGCAATCAGGCAAGACCTCATCTGCTATCAGCTGCAAAATTTCATATTAAATTTCTTTATCTTATAAGCTTTTTAAAATATAAATAACATTTTGATGAAATAAGTTACAATTTGAGAGATGTTTAACATGATATAGTAATCATATCTAAACTGAATTTTGTTGTTGGATTTTCTTATTTGAACAAAGTTTTGCAATATTTGGCTTAACACCAGACAAACACAGTCTTAAATGTAGCTTGACATTGAGTTTGTGTCTATATTATGATTTAAAACAAGAATAGAGTGATTATGCTAACTCACACAAATAGACAGTAGAAAATGGTTGGCAAATTTTACAAGCTCTCTTGCTGAGACAGAAATTCATTTTTCATCTTTAGCCATCTAACCAATCAACGAGTGAATAGCTAGTTATGATATAAAATATCTACTTTTATACTGGTTAATCCTAGGCACTATATTAAATGATAACTGTATTTAAAGTATAATTGGATATTTATATATAAACTAAGCTTTGTAAGGAAAGAATCTCTCCAGACATAACTTTCTTTCTTTCCACCACTGTCACACTGGCTCTACTCTCACAAAAACTCTACTGAATAACTGACCAGTGTTGCTAACCAGTTCATTCAAAAATCTGTCAAATAGATTAATAAAAAGAAGAATAACAGAAGTGGAAGAGAAGTTTAAATTGGAAAACTGCAATAAGAGACAATATAAGGTTTGTTTCTACATTACATATGCGAGGGTTTATGATGGTTGTTGAGATGGTATCTAATGTCTATGTCCAGCCTAACATTAGTGCTACAAGAACACAAATACTTGTGACATCTTGATCACATGATTACACAGCCAAGAAGTACAATTAACAGGTATCAGAGGGGAATGAGGGAGCTATTTTGGTGTAGTGTATGGAATACAAACCAAGGTATATGCATCTGTCTCACCATCTGTTGGGAAATGGGTTGTTCTTGAATGCTGAATCCTTATGATGATTTTAACAATCAAGAGATAGAGGGAAATTTGGAAAAGGAGAGCATCTGGAGGGAAGGATAAAGAGCTTTGTTCTGGCCATAATGAGTGTGAGATATACCTAAGATATTCAGTTTGAAATGGTGCAGGCCTGAAGCTCAGAGGAGGTCAAAGAGATGGATATATACATCTTGTAGTAGTCATTTGCACAGTGATGACTATTTAACCTTGAGATCTGATGAGAAATCACAGAGGTAAGGCATTGGACTTGGGATCACTAAAACCTGGGTTCGTGTCCCTCCTCCAACATGTGTTAGCTGTAGGAATTTGACCAAGTCACTTCACTTTTCTATACTTCAGTATACTTATCCAGACATGAGGTCTGGACGCAGTGGCCTCCAAAGTTCTTTCCACTATGTGATCCTAGAATAGGGCCTAGGACAGAGCCTTGGTGCACACTCACAGTCGGGGCAAGATATGTTTGATGAAGCAGGAAAGGAGACTCAATACAGGTGGTCAGACAGGTAGGACAATCAGGAGAGAGTGGTGGTAGTGTTGATTGGTGGTAGTGTTGATGTTCAGTAGTTTCAGTGGTGTCTAATGTTTCGTGACCCCATTTGGGGTTTTCCTGGCAAAGATACCAGAGTGGTTTGCCATTTTCTTCTCCAGCTCATTTTATAGGTGAGGAAAGTGAGGCAAACAGTATTAAGTAACTTACTCAGGATCACACAACTAATAAGTGTCTTGCATCTGGATTCGAACTCAGGTCTTGCTGACTTCAGGCCCAGTGTTCTATCCAATGCACCACCTAGCTGCCCTCAGTAGAGAGTAGCATAAAGGAAACCCAGAGAGAAGAGTGATATCAAGGAGTAGGTGGTCATTCATGTCAAATGCAGTAGGTAAGACTAGGAGGATGAGGACCGGGAAAATTTCATCGGATCTCTTAATTAAGATACAGCTTATAATGTTGGAAAGAAGAGTTTCAATTGAGTGATGAAGTTGGAAGACAGATTTCAAAAGGTTGAAGAATGACTGGAAAGAAAGGAAGTAGAAGCAACTCATACAAACAACCTTTTCTTGGAGTTTGGATGAGAAATGGAGGAGTTGGTAGGGTTTAATGAAGGTTTTTTTTTTTTTTAAGAATGGGGAAGATTTGGGCATGTTTGAAAGCAATAGGATAGGAAGTCCTAGCTAGTGGTTGAAGATCAAACAGAAGTGGGAACAGGGGATGGCTGAGGCTGTGATCTTCTGGAGAAGATGGAAGGAGATAAGCTCAAAAGTGCAAGCAAAAGGGTTAGCCTTGACAAAGAGAAGGGTCATCTCATTTTCAGAGACTGGGAGAAAGAAAGAAAGAGAGGGAGTACACATAATGGGAGGAGTTGTGAGATGAAGAGAAAAGGAGAAGAAGGTGCTTATGTAAGATGGCCTCAATTTTCTCAGTAAAGAAATGAGGCCCTCAGGTTGGGCTTAGGATGGAAGGTTTGAGGGGCAGCTAGGTGGCACAATAGATAGAGCACCGGCCCTGAAGTCAGGAAGACCTGAGTTCAAATCCGACCTCAGACCAAACACCTGACACTTACTAGCTGTGTGACCCTGCACAAGTCACTTAACCCCAATTGCCTAAAAAAAAAATAGCATGGAAGGTTTGAGAAAAGAAGAGAAAGTTTGGAATAGCTTCTGCTGGAAGTGAGGTGGAGAATCAATTTGGGTAACGAAAAACATTGGACTGCAGCAGGGAGGGCATGGTTGAAATGGTGTATCATGAATTTGTCACAGACCCAGTCAACATGGGTTGTGACTTGCCTCCAGCTTGGTTCAGTAGCCTGTGTGTAGGAACAAAGAAAATAGTAGGAGTAGTGCAGGCTAATGTATAAATGGCCACAGGGCAATGAGGTGAGACACTCAAGAGTAAAAACGTAGTTGAGCAAGTTAACTTTAAGGGTGTGGCTGGAATGGGACAAAAGAGAAGTCAGAAAAGAGACAATGGCCTGAAATGGTACTTAGAGGTGGAGGCAGTGGAGAGCTAGATGAGTGTAAAGAATAGGGAAGGATGGAACGGTAGGGAATTATAGTCAGACAGAGGAATGTCAAGGGTATTACAGAGGTGAAGGAGAGAGAAAGATACATTTGGAGAGAAGAATAATCAGTGATAGTTTTCCTCCCATTATATATACTCCCAAGTCCCAAGAACTCATATCTATGCAGTAACTATAAGTGTAAATAAAGGCTGAACGAGACAACTTAAACTCGAGGGAAGCACAACTGAATGAAGATGGCAATGTGATCTATCAAACAGGTCTACGATAATAGGCCATTTTAGCTTCTTCTAAGGAGATATAAAACTTTTTTCTTACATCATAGATATTTGTTGAATGTTGACTGTGTGTATAGAGCTATAGTGGGTGCTATCTGGATATACACAGGCACATACAAAAGCATGGTACCTGAACTTGGCAAATCTGTTAACTCTAATTCTCATATGTTGAATACCTGTGGTACTGAATACATTTTTATTAGACTGTGGCATGACCACTGATCTCAATCTTCCCAAGAAAAATAGCAAACTACTTAATACACAATGCTGGTACAATCCATGTTGTACTATTACAGTATCATGGGCTTGTAGAACTGCAAGGGACCTCTTGATTGTAAGGCTTTCAAGTCAAAAAGTTACACCATTTCCTTTTGCTAGGGAAAAACCCTGAGATGGATTAGTTGGGACAATCTGATGTGCAAAAGGACTCAATTTGAGTCATGTGTCAAGGGCAGGAGTCCTGGCTCTGACACGTGATAACTGTGTAGCCTTGGGCAAACCACTTTCACGCCCTAAGCTTCAATTTCCCTTAGAGGTGGGGAGAGGGAACTGAGGAAGGTACCTGTAGTGATAGCTTTCATTGGGATTTCATGGCTAAAGAGAATGCAGAAGAGTCAACACCTCTTACTTATGCAAATCATTAAGTATTCAGCAACTCTTAGAGAGCTACCAGAAGCACAGAGAGACTAAGTGACTTAGCTAGAGTCACACAGCAAGTATTATTCCAATCAAGTTGTGCTCCAATCCAGCCAACAAATTAGGGATCTTTTATGTGTCTAGTGATCATGAAGAGTCTGACATGACTACAGCAAAAGGATTACTGCACTGCTGGAGGGATCTATTTTCAGGTAAGAACTGGAATTTACCATTTTTTTAGTCAATGTGAAAATGCAAAAGTAAACAGAAAGTTGTTTGCTACCACAGGATACATAAATAGCTTTCTGGTAAGTGGTACATACATAACCCTAATTTTCAGAATGCTCAGCCCCTATTATTTTGAAAAGTTACATTCGTACTAACAAGTCTTTGTCACTTAGGGATAAAAATCTTGAGTGTACAGAACCTATAAAGATAAAGGTGCTTCTTTATTCGGGTCATGTTCCTCCCTTAATTTGTTTTAAAGCAAAATATGATGAACCAATAGCAATGGTCAGATATATGAGAAGGGAAAAGGAAAAAATAAAACCCACTAGATTAACTCCCTTCCCCCTTCAACAAATCCTTAATGGGTTGGCTACATATTTTAAGAACTAGTCAAGAGAAATGTATCTGCTAAATTAACATCAGACTTATGCACATAAAATTTTCCATTCTAAAAAATATCAGTGATATAAGCCTACAGAATCCAGAAATATGGATCCTCTCAAAACCACTAAATTTACTCAGGAAATTTATCAGAATAATAATTGTTACAAGGTTCCAGCCAGGACTAATCTTCAGTCACAGTTATATTGGGCTTTTAGAGTGAAATGCAAATCTTGGCAGAAACCCCAATTCTATCAGAAAACACATGCTAAGATAACACTCTGTAAGAAAGGCTTAGGGAGTCCTTGAGAAAATGATACAAACCATAGGGCCACATAGTCTATATTACTATGGCACTTCATTGCAGTTATATAAATTAATCATTCAAGTGAATTAGTTACATATGTCCTTTTCCAAGCTTTTCCCTCTTGTACATGTTGAGTTAACCATTATAAAAACTTTCAGAAATATATATATAATGCTTGGAGGGTAGCTTCATCTTCCATATATGGATATTACTTAACTGGGATTCTGTTGACTAGTTTTCTGTTAGACAGAGACCCCAAATGTCTATTGATATAGCAGGAATTTCAACACACATTTGAATCTGTGATCAAAAAGCCTTTCTGAAGCCATCAAGATTTGAAAATGAATTTATGATTTTCCAAATTATTCAGCAGATTTTGAAAGTTAAGAAAATGCTGATACAAAGAAAATTCACATCCTAAAACATTCTTACTACTGTAAAAATTAGTGGTGGCAGTTTGCCAACACTCTAATTAATGCTTAATTGTGATTTTTTAAAGTACTAAAGGATCAAGTCAAATCTCATCAATTGAGCAACATACTATCTTTTGAAATCAAGGTACACAATTATTATAACAATATTTCCTCTGGATTTGAACATATCATTGACAATTTCCATTCTAGTGCTGGGACATCTAGTTTACTTATGGCATTAAAGAATTTTAGAGCTGAAAACAGCTTGAGGGCTAATCTAGTCTAATGGTCTCATTTCACAGATGAAGGAATGGAGATTCCAAAGCTTAAATTAATTGCTCAAGGTTACAAAGATAGTGCAAAGCTAGAATTAAATTCCAAATCTCCTTCTTCCTAGTTTAGTCCTTTTCCCACAGTTCCATGCTGCCTAGTGAATAATGATTGTATCAAAGCACAAAGAGAAATTAGATGGTTAGAAAGATAACATTGTTTTCTGAAGAAAAGAATGCATTCTCTAGTACCTTGAAGAACTCTCAATATTAGCATAAAGAACAAAAAGTACTAAGGAAGGAGACATTACGGGTAACAAACAATTCATTTTTCATATAGAAGAAACAACAGTAAGACAATATCTCATTTGGACATTTGGGAGAAAATAAAGTTAAAGATTATGATGAGTTACAATCAATTCCTTTGAGGCATGTTTGGAGTGATTATTCAGAGTTCCTAACTTTACCAACAAGCAACCTAGTCAGCTCTTGGGACCATACAAGTTATTTATGTACATAAATGTATGACATATTGATTTAAAAGTAGTTCTCTTTTCAAAAGAATATATAGACCAAGACTGTTTTCCTCAAACCACCCTTCCCAAGTTTTTTTTTTAACAACAAGAATGATAGCTAACATTTATATAGCATTTCAAAGTTTACAAAGTACTTTACATAAATTATTTCATTTGATTCTCACAACAATTCTGAGGGACAGGTGCATGAGGAAATTGAAGCAGACAGAAGTTAAGTGACTTGCCCAGGGTCCCACAGCTAGTAAATATTAGTCAATTTGAATTCAGATCTTTCTTACTCCAACACTCTAAATACTATACCACCTAGCTACCTACAAACTTTTTTAAATCGATAGCTATAAAACTTTGCATAATGAAAAAAACAGAAGAACTTTCTTGGTTGGATGTAGAAAAGGGTGTTCCAGCTATCTTTGGTACCAACATAGTTTAACAAGTAAATGAAGTTTAGGTGTTTGGAAAGGAGGAAAGGCAGAAAAACCTTCGCATTCCTCACTGGGCTCCAACCTGTATAATAGGTCTCAAAAGATCTCCAATGGATCGTGGCTTTAGTAGGTAGGCTTCTGTCATGAATGGGGCAGTCTTTTTTATTCAAGACTTATCTGTTCCTTGGAAACTTTTTAATCTAGTGGAGCACAGGAAGATAGGAAGGTATAGACTCTTCCCCAGTTCTCAAGAAGGCACAGCTGAGCAATAAGAAATATAACTATGAACATGAGACCTCACTTGACTAGAAATAGTAGACAGGGCTTCAGGACACGTATTTTGGAGTTAATTTTTCCTCTAGGTGAGGAGAGGAGAAACAAATATCCGTCTCTCATCTCTTCTTTCACTTGACCCAGAAGTTCTGAATGAAAAAGCATAAACATTTATGATGCACCAAGCACTATGTTATATGAGAGGCTGTGCTTCTTAAACTGTGGGTCATGACCTCATATGGGGTTGCGAAAAATTTGGCAACAGTAAAAGGTTTCTAAATGCACAATGACCAAAAGTTAATTAAAAATTGAATGCATAATGAATCCAAGGTGTTTCTGGCAGCTTTGGTCCACTTTGCATTGCACAACTTCACTGCAGCCTTAGTTCTGAGCACAAAGCATGTGCACTTTGCACTAAGCATGCCCTCAGGCTACGTAACACTAATGTTGCTGAACCACAAAAAGGAGTCCTGACTGGAAAAAGTTTAAGAAGCTCTGTGTTAGAACACGCATAGAAAAGGTTAGTCAATCCTTAATCTCAAAGATTCTACAGTGTGATTGAGGAACAAAACACATAAAGAGAAAGTTCAGCTACTGGGTGGATAGAAAGGCCAGGAATTCCTAAAGGGTTCTATGTTGGGGCAGATCTCAAGGCCCAATCATCCTTAAGGTATGTCAATAGATCAGATGACATTTTAGGGAATAAAGGCAGGGCAGATGGTAAGGCCTAGTGGTATTTTTCCATTGCATCAGAAGGAAGAGAATCGTTGGACCTCATCTCATCTAAACCTTGTGGACAGTGAAGCAGCCCAAATGGCTTTTGCAAGAGAGGCATTTGAAGGGAAAGGTGTTCCCTGTGGTGGTAAATCTCCCTATCACCAGACTCTTCTTGAAAGGTCTCAAACTTCTACTGAGTTTCTACATTCATGATTTTCCTGAAAGTTTCTTTATTAGTCCTTATGCCTGAAAGTTCTAATTAAACACTTTTTTCTCAAGTAAAAATGTGTCTTTATATTTCAGGATTCAGTTTCCAGGTTTTCCAAACAGATCTGGGGATGGCAAATAGGCTAGGAGTTGATAAAAAGTCTGGGCTTAGGACTTATTAATGACTTTCCCTTTCTTCCTATGTTGGTAACAGAGGAATAAAAGTTACTCTATGGTGCAATGGAAATAGCCCTAAACTAAGTCAAGAGACCCAGGCCTAGTAATGGCTCTGATAACGAGTACTATCCATAGGTAAGTCATGTAGATTCTCTGAGGCTTATTTTTTTTTTTGCCTATAAAATGAGAGGTTTGAATTAAGAACACTCTCAGGATTATGATTGAGTATATGATTCTAAATAATGAATACAGAGAATGAAATTCTGAGTCAGCAAGTGAACCAATTAATTTTGACCTTGATAGATCAGACTAATTTGATATTTTTCATTCAGACCAAATGATTTCACACTTATTAATACTGGTGATTTGGAAAGAAAGTAGGTGCCTATCAATTGGGGAATGATTAAAAAATAAGATATGTGAAAGAGAAACATGGGAAAGATTTGCAGAAACTGATGCAGAGTGGAGTAAACAAAACCTGTAGAATGTAAATAAAAAGACCCTAAAATGAAATTAAAGTATAAGTAACTGAAAAATCAGTAAAAGTCTCAGAGAACAGCAAACAAAACATAGCTTCCTCCTCATGGCATGGAATTCCTGGGAAAGACTATTGTACATATTTTCAGTGCAAATCACTAAATCAGATGAGTTTCTGCTTAACTGCTTTCCATTATTGAGATGTTCTTTTATCACAGTTCAACAAAATGCATTTAGAATGCATAAATCCCCATTCCCTCCCTAAACTTTAATCTCTCCCTTTCTACTGCCTACATCCCACATCCCCTCCATTCTTTAAAAACAAACAAAAATCCTTCCCTGGAGCCCCGATCCTAGGTAGCTATCCATCTGCCTCTTCTGAGCTAACCTCCTTTAAAAAGTCACCTGTACTTAATGCCTCTACTTTCCTCAAACTCTCTCCTAAACCTTCTGGCTGTCTGGCTTCCAATCTCATTATTCAACTGAAACTACTCTCTCCAAAGTTAACAATGATCTCTTAATTAGTAAATCTAATGGTCTTTTCTCATTCCTTGTCCTTTTGCCCTCTCTGCAGACTTTGATCTACCAGATATTCTTTCTTGTTTAGGTTTTTGTGACACTGCTCTCTGGGTTCTCCTACTGGTTTCACGGCTCTTTCTCAGTCTCCTTTAGATCTTCATCCATACAGAATAGCCCCTTTGGAACTATTTCTTTTGACCTTCACATATAGTGTCTGAACAGAGCCCCCTGAGTGGGGCAAAATCTTACATATACACAAAAAGTCCCTGGGGAAAATGGGGAAAGCCAGTATTTTTGTGAAGTCCTGAGGCTGCCTTTCATTGGATTGTCTAGTTTGCCCCGAGCGCCTGATGTCAATATTTCAGTCAACTATTGATGTTCTGAGGACACAGTTATCAAAGCGCAGGGAAAATCCAAATCTTCCAAAGTTGTTGAAAGTCATCCTCTAGGTGAAGAGGGTTGGGAAGAGAAGGAAACAGGGTCTCTCACTTTGCCACCCTAGGGATTCTCTCTCAGGGCGTTGGCTGCTGTGTCTCCACCACTAGGTAGAGGAGTGTAATCCTGAATCCCAACTTGGCGGGCTGCTTATTATGAGCCCTACAGCTGTGACTATTTGTCATAGCTACAAGAGATTTCCTGGGGGGAGTCACTGGCTTTCCTACAATGACCCAAGTCTTTCACTTCTCCAAAATTCATTAAGAACTTGTTTGTGGCTTGTTTATATCTCTTATTAATTCAATAGAAATATTAAGAAATTGTTCACACCTTTGATTGATTTTGTAACTCACACAAAGAGGCCATCCCACCTGATAAAGGTATCTTGACTTAGAGCATCTTATGTTAAATGGGGTTGAGGGGTATAGGATAGTCCTCCCGTATCTGAATTTTGTTTCTTGCAGTAAATTTGTGAGGTAGATTTTATAGATGAGAAAAAGGAGACTTCCTAAATGTATCAGGGACTGTTTTTACCTTTCTTGCCAGCACTTAGCATGGTGCCTGGAGCATTGTAAGTATTTAATAAATTGGTGCTGACTGACTTGAGAAGATTGTTTCAGGAAGACTTATTGAAGAGTAGAGTCTTTGGAAGCAGGGAGACCAATTCAGTGGCTTCTATAATAGTTTGGGCAAAGAGGTGATGAGGGCCTTAGCTGGAGTGGAGGCTTTGTAGGTAAAGAAACGGCAGGAAAGAAGAGCAAAATAGAGGGAGGTGCTGGTCTGGACTCTGAGCCGCTGGTCACCAGATGTTTAACTCTGGTCAAGTCATTCCTTACCTTCTAAGCCTCTCTGTAAAATGAGGGGGCTGGACCAGATTATTTCTGAAACGAGATCCCTTTTAGACCAATTAATAGCGTATAAGGAACTGCTTCTACCTTGTAATTTCCCAATCCCTGAGGTAGGACCACCGTAGGTCTCAGAAGGTATAAATGTGATTCGTAGTGCGATATGGACACGGTGGCTATGGCTCTACAGCCAGCTCAATCTGGAAAGCCATAGTGACTGATTCTGAGCCAGGGGTGCGACACAGAGGCCCGAGGAGAGGTCTCAGAACACAGGAAAAAAAAACAAAAAAAACATCCAAACTTCTGTAACTGTCTCCCGGGCTATATCCTTCCCATCCCTACCATTCGTCTCAAGGTAACTATGTGGCGTAGTGGTTATATCATTGGGCTTGTTGCCTGGAAGACCCGAGATCAAATACTGCCTTAGAAACTTACAAATTCTGTGATCCTAGGTAAATCACTTAACTACTCTTCCCCTCAGTTTCCTTATCTGTAAAATGGTGATTAAAAATAATAGCACCTACTTCATAAGGTTTTTGTGAGGCTCAAATATGTTAACACCTGTAAAGGGCTTTGTGTTATATAAATTCTAGCTATTATTACTGAAACAGGAATAAAAGGCATCAAAATCCCAGTCTTCCTTCCTCTGCCCCTCAGGTGCCTCCCGTATGCAAAAAGTACACATTATATTTCTGACCCTGAATGAACTGACTAAAAGTATCTCGATGCAATCAGCTACTTACTGTCACGGATACTGTTGGAACAAATGATTTTTATTCATTTTGGTTACCATACAGAACCTGCTTTAATTATGCTGGTAATACAATTACAGGTTCCTCTCTTCTTTCCTCTTTATATTCTCATTGTCTCTGTGATGTTCTGATTCTCTTCAGATTCAGTATTTTTGGTGAACAATCTCATTTTTCTACTCTAACTTCTTTTTTTTTTCCACTGAGTTCCTGCCAAGAAACAGCTAAAATATAGGGCTAAGCATGTTTATTAGCTAAGGCTGGTTTTCAATGCAGGTAAAAAGATGTGTCAAGTAACTAGTTACAGTGGTTACAGCATGGCTATTATACCACAAACATTACTTTCCCTTTCAACTGTGACTAAATCAAATGTCTTCCATAACATGCCTTATTAAAATATCTTACCAGGCTGAAACTGTTTCACTGAAAAAAGAGAAGATGGGAATGGTCTAGCAACCCACCTGCTGAAATGCTTCAGCAAAAAAAACTTCACCATCCTATTTCTCCGAAAGAGAGAACATCAGTTCAGGTAAAAATAGCCTACAGGAATTCTATATTATAGTATAGGCAGTCCCTAACTCACCAAAAAAGTTGCTATCCAAAAATCTGATTATGTTAGTTGTTTAGAAGTGGAAGTATCTCCAAGAAACAGTATTAAACATGATGGGTAGATGAGAAGAGCATTCTAGAAGTGCAACCAGAAGGTAGTAAGACCAGATCTGAAATGCTGAATCCAGAATAGGGTGGTGGTAATGATGACTCATGTGAATAGAGTCTTCATTTAGGGCATTGTAAAATATTAAAAGATTTTGATATTAAGGAACTTAAAAGGAACATTCTACAATATATGATATAATTTGATTTCTCCTAATAAAAATTTCCTCTGGCACAGTGTGACCAGCACTTAAAAGTGAGAAGTTAAGAATCAGCAGCCCGCCAAGCAGTCCAGTAGCAAAGTTGTTTTTTTTTTTGTTTTATGTTTTTTGTTTTTTAGTGGTATCTAGGTGAAGACTTGAGCCCCACACACTACTAATCTGGTATTGCCAACAATGTCTCCATACCCTTTACCTCTTACATAAGAAGTTTTATTGTGAGCCAGAATGGAAAACTGATATAGTATCAAAAAGCTGCTTCCTAAGCTCCCCAAATTCTTTTTTCACTGAAACTCTAAATGGCAAGATATTTCAATGCAATTAAAATATTTGAGTACATAGAACTAATTCTTCAAAGGAACACTCACATTCTTATCCTTCTGAGTGTTTGCCTAAAAAATTTGAGGAACTCTGAGTTAAGGGACAGAAGAATGGGTCTCTGAAAGGGACATGGTAAAAGTTTTTACTAGATGGGAGAATAGAGTATTGGGAAGGCAGTATTGAGGGAAGCCCTTGGCCTCAGGATTCATCTTCCTCTCCTCAGTCCTCCACTACAAGTCCCACTACCAAGATCCTTCCTTGCCTGGGATAGGTGCTAAAACCTATCCATGAAGAAAAACAAGTACCAGAGGAAGGGGATGTGGGTAAGGAAGGTTATAGAATAGAGTGAAATCTGTAATAGTGAGAAGGAAGAGGGAAGAGAATTACAGGAAATCTCAAGATGAACCCCATTTTGAGCCCTCCTCATCTCTCACCCGAACATATATTTGTACAAGGGAGCATGAGATAAATGCAAAGGAAATGTCTAGGCAAAGCATTAGTGATAAATTTAATTTTGGAGAGATAGCTTTTAAATAAATGGTGGGGAGTTCATGAATCAGTTCATGAAGTAGGGAGTATCTTAGTTGGGTATTAAGGAATAAGGAATGAATGAAAAATATTAAAGGCTTACTGTGTGCAAAGCACCATGCTTGTAAGGGCTAGGGATACAAACAGAAAAGCAAAACCATACCTGACTTTAAGAATTTGAAATCTAATAGGGAGAGAAAATACATACGTGGCATGACAGCTGCAAGTCAAATGGAAAGGTCTAGTGGTCCTTGAGATGCAGCGGCAAAGCACGTGCTAATGCATCTTCTTTAGTTTCCTTAGAGTGACTTTTGGTTGAAAGACCCTGGGCTAACTTCACTGAGGTCTCAGGGGGAAGCTGTGGTTGAGGTGGTGATGGAGTGATACACCTTTCATATGTCTACCCCTCAGAGAAACAAGGTTATCTCAACAGATTGAGATGGCAACAGGAAGGAAGGCATGAATTCCATTCTAGGCATAGTGAAAGTCAGATAAATGGGATAGAATAGGCTAAGAATGATTGACAGAGAGTAGTCCAGTTTGGCTATAACACAGACTAGGTAAAGAGAAGTGATAGGAGATAAAGTTGAAGAGGCATATGGAAATTAGACTTTGAAGAGTCCTGAATGCCAGAATAAAGTTTATATTTCATTTGGTAGGCAATGGAGAGCCACTGAAGGTTTGTGAGTGGAGAGACATGATCAACAATACATTAGAAAGATTAACCAAGCAATGGTGTGTGAAGGATGGATTGAAAGAAGAGCCAGGAAGAACAGCTAATAAGCTATTGCAAAAGTCTAGTATAGCACTCTCTCTCCAGGGCTATCTCATCAATTCTTACTCAAACTGTCAGACTGAGTCCTCAAAGGGTGATTACAACTAAACTGTTCAGGTTCTAGGGGTAACCCTGAGGGTTGCTGGGAGTTTCCTAGTAGCACTGTCATTCATTACCCCCCCCCCCCCCCAGCCTCCTATTGTTTATCAGTCAGGCTTAATTACCTTTTAGAGAAGGTATTTACTAGGCAAAGCCCTTTCAAGAGTATTTTAAGGTAGCATGGCCTAGTGGATAAACAATCAACCTCGAATCAAGGAAGACCTGGATTCAGTTCCTGTGCTTGACCTATATAGGCTAGGTGATCTTAGGCATGTAAGTTTTCTAAGACTATAAGTTGCAGAGAAAATGATGACCTGCATTTGTAGGGTGAAGTTTCCTCACCCAGGAGATGTACTAAATAGGTTTCACAAGAAAATGTTACAAAAACAAGCCCTTCAAACTAGGGGTGTTTTCCCCCTTTACACAATATGTCCCTAAGGAAAATGGGCTCAAATTTAAAACACAAAGGGAGTGAGGCACATAAGCCAATAGCACATGTGACAGAGGAGAGAATGCACAGCTCCTGGTCTCTGGGAATCATATTCTACCTTTGCAGAGTCTTCATGAAGTATCTTATAAAGGTACCTCTCTATTGGACTCCTAGGATTGGTACCTTTCTAGAGCTCATAGCCTGCACTTCTTTCTGCCCCAAGGGGTTATTGGTCCTTGAAACTGCCTCTTCTCAGGGCATCTAATTTATCTTCCCAGGTCTCTCAGCTCCTGATGCAGATATTGCCATAAGTCACTACTGCTATGGGGATAACGTTACCCCTACTAATGAGAATTCCAGATCTTCTGAGTTTTCACATTTTGTGAGATGATCCCCTTGTCAAGTGAGAGAAGGGAGAAGAGAAGGAAAGAAGGAAATAGAGAGAGAGAGCACAAGACTTGAAAGAGAGAGAGAGAGAGAGAGAGAGAGAGAGAGAGAGAAAGAGACAGAAAGGGAGGGATAGAGAGAGAAGGGGAAGGGGAAGGGAAAAGGAAAGGAATAAAGCAAAGGGACAGAAGGGAATAGAAAGATGTTTTTATCTTCTCCAGGACTCCCAGGAAGGCTTGACACTATTTGAATAATGAGTTCTAGACTAGTTTGCTTCTAAAAACATGTAGCCCCAAAGTATATCTGATTCTTTTTGCCAATCACAAGATATTTCTTGTGTGTTACCATCAGTCTTTATCCAATGATTTAAGCACTTTAGTCTTCTCAAATTAATTAAGAACTTATTCTGCACCTAATTTATACTTTTGACTGATTGACCAATTGATCTGTCTGTGGGTCTTCCATGATTAACTAGAGTGAGACTGGAACGTCACCCATACACTACTAAAGAAGAGATGAGTGTCTGAACTAAGATGTTTATTTTGGAACAAAAGTAGGGGATTTATATCGGAAGTCATTATAGAGTTGATGAGACTTGGTAACTGATTGCAAATACAGAACAAAGAAGTGCAGAGTCAAAGCTACTTCCAAAGTTATGATCTCAGCTGAATGGCTTTGAGGAAGTATAAGATAAATAAAATGCGGATTGTTTGCTATCTTGAATTATACATTTTCTGGAAATATTTATTGAGCAATTTCTAATATATTTGAACATTACCTTTCTAACAGTCTATATGTTTTTTAAACATCAAAGAATATTTTAAAATCCTAACAGTTAATTAGGTATGACTGAGGGTACTGACATGATTGGAAGGAATCTCTCAATTTTTATGTTCACATATTACTCAATTTGTCAAATTTATTTCTACTCACATACACTGAAAATAGCTATGTTCATAACTGCTAGGTTTCTCTGAATAAATGAAGGTTAGATGTAATCTAGCCAAAAGGATAGAGCTAGTAAAGTTAGTCCTACACCTTAGAGATTTTCTTTCTTTGTCCTTTACCCTACTTTTTGTTAACTGTCTTCTTATTTTAGGTAATTAGTACTCTCTTGCTCTTTGTTTACTCATCAATGATTAAAGAATCTGATGCAAGTCACATAAACTCGAAAATTAATTGAATGGTCACACTTTTATATAAATGAATTCCAGTCAATGCCACCTTAAATTTCTATTATTTTATTTAGAACTTAATGGTATTTTAGTGATGTAAATCTCCTTTTCTAGGATATTGGAATGCATCAACATGCTTCTGTTATTTACGCATTTGGTAACAGTTTCTGACAATAATGCTCATCATTGGAATAGTCTCTTCATTAATATACTGTTGATTGATAGTGTGACTTAATTCCTGTATTTTTATTTAAATTTAATGTTAAATAACCTGCAAGAGGTCTTGCTTCCCAACTAAATTCTTAGGATAATACTTTCTCATATTCACCCCAGCACCTGGCAAATTGCCTGACTGTATGATCTTGGGTAAAACTTAACCTCTCTGGCTACTTATCCTTCTCTGTGTAAGGTACTGCCCCTTTTGTATGTGATTGATCCAGTTGCTGAAAGGGGCAGAAAATGAATATTTTTAAAATAAAAACTGATAAAATCCACTACAGAAGAAACACAGCTTCTCAGATAAAATGTTGAAGAGACAGCCTGTTTTATTTGTCCCTCAGATAAATGTCCTGGGAGGAGCTGTTTGAAGGCGAAGTACAGACTGAGGTAATGATGGCCACAGGGCATTGTGGTCCATCAGATCATTTGCATGTGATTGTTCTTAGAGTTTTGAAAGATATAGCTGATAAATTAGAAATTAAAAAAAAAAACAAACAAACCAACCAACCTGTTTGGGGACCGTAGGAGGATCATACAAGGATTGCTGGGGTCACAGCTTGTGGAAAGGTGGATCTTTTGAGTTTCACATCTTAAATCAGAAATAGGTCACTGCTTATGAGAAGGCCCTGATTTGAGGCATTAGGTGCCCAGAAATAAAAGACAGAAGGGATAGAAGATGACCAACTAAAGACAGAAGAAGCAGGAGACTTTGGGGACATAAGG